ATGTACACACGCAGATGCAAAATCGGAAACAACTCCCGCCGGCTTGTGTATAGGCTTGACGATACAGTACTACTTTGCTCGCTCGAGAGAATAATATCTTCCGATAAACCGTTTGCCTATTGGATTTGCTCGAGAAGGGGAAAAAGCTTACGGCACTTTGGTGATTGACGCAGCGTCGAAAACGACGACTTTATTATTCAGTTGGCGGCGAGTCGCTTTTTAAACACTTGTGATACTCCAATCAATGCGCGCATTGTTTCTCTGTCCCACTCGAGTTTATGCTTCGATTGACACAATTTCAACACGCACCATATAAATGGCGGCACACGCGTACATATATATATATATATATATATATATATATATATATACGCGAGTCATTGCGTCTGTGCGCGCGCCACCAAGCTTTCCGCGCGTACGAGTTACGATATGGCGATAAAAATATCCCAACTACGGTGTCTCTCAACGTGAATTTATTGTTTTATGCCGGCTCCTGAATTATCGTCTTGGCAAGCTTATTAACTACACCTGCGCGACTGCTGGAAATTATGTTGTAAAATAAATGGCATTGTCTTAATGGAATACTCTTTTTAAACTAGCAGAAAGCAGCTCTCGATCTCGCGCTCTCAGCGCCGGATGAATTCGCCGACTTTAAGTAACAAGTATTATACTGTACTTCCATGAATTGATTTTAATTAATACTTTTTTCGCCATGTGCGTCGAGTCGATTTACGAATTTATCGTGAGAAAAATAAAGGGGGAAAAATGGAAAACTATTCGTTACAATTAACGCTCGTTCTGATTAAAAAGCAGTCAGAAAGCATGGCGCGCGTTAGCCGTATGAACGATATAAAGCGACTTGGCGCGAGGTATTTTTCCGCAACGCTGTCGCACAATTTATATTTTTATACTAAATTTGAAGTAGCAGTAACAGAGTAGCAGCCAGAAAGTGAGAGAGTACATTGAATTCAAAAGGCTATTACACTTTGTTTCGCCCGTTAAACTCGATGACACGCACTCACTTCGGGTCGCACACCCGCGCAAAAGTAAAATCAGATATTACTTTGGGAATCGTGCTAGTCTCTGTGTGTGGCTGTTTGTGTTCTAGATTCGCGAATGTATATGTACATGTATGTGAGAGGGAGCGCACGCCGGCTGAACATTTTAATCAAGAGCTGCAGAAGCGTTAACTCGTAAAAACGAGGAGCTGCTGCGCAGAGTACATCGCTGCGTCGACAACGACAATAGAGATTCGAAATTCTGTGTTCTTAAAGCGAGTACGAGTGCGAGCGCATAACACAGAGGAATGAAATGACTCCAGAAGAAAGAAGCAAAACAGTAAAAAAGATAAGCTGAAGAGGATGTATGTGACGTAAAGATATTATGTTGCTGTCTCTCGCCAGAGAAAAAAAGCTGCTACACGGCGGCCCCTTTGATCTGGAAAAACGAATTTTTCGCAGAGCTGCACGACCGGAGCAACGGAGTAATACTCGACGCTGAATCGGGCTATCGTATTAAAATTGCGGCAATATTTACCTAAAAACAACGATTTTTATGTCTACTGCGTAGCCTATGCTGCAATTTCAATTAGATCGTTCGAGGCGCAAAATGCTTCGGATGAAAGAGTTAATTAAAGATGTGTCTCACGCACCGGTGGCTTCTTTACGTCTTTGGAATATTAGATATTTTTCGCGAGCAGCAAATATAGAGATGGAGAGAAAGAGAAAGGGGAAAAAAAGAAAGAGCTTGCAGTAGTAGCTGAATAATGTATCGAAAAGCCGGCGTATGCATGCCTTATTATTTATACATGAAGTTATGGTTGAAATCCATTACGCACTCTGAACGGTTTTTTTCTCTGTAAACAAGCCATCTATTGCGTCCAAGCCTTTAGCTCAGAGAAGTCGGTCGAGAAAACGATGAAAAAAGACAGAGAGAGAGAGAGAGAGAGAGAGAGAAAATGTAGCAAGTGGAAAAATATAATGGCAGCAGTAACGATGCCGAGTCTACGTGACACGCAACGTTCGCCCGGGGTGCAGTTGTATTGCTGCTCAACTCACTTTCCGCGAGGGAGCTGGGCAGGGAAAGAAACATTTTCTTTGCCAGTACACCCACTCGTGTACGATTGCAAAGTTGTACGGGTGTTTCTGTGCAGCTCGCTACATGCTTTGATGCCGGAGAATATTAAAGCTTCCAGTGGTCCTTGGAGAGCAATTCGAGTCTTTCGATTAGAATAATGCAACTGGCCAGCTCGTCGCGGTGCCTCGGAGCCGAGAAGTCCCCCTCACGAGCCATCGCACTACAATGAAGAAATAGAAAGAAGGAGCATTTGTCGGGCCGAGAGAGTAATTTTAAGCGGCGCCAAGACCAATTGATACATACATTTATCACGCGGGGGGAGCCGAAAGAAAGCTGCAAAACACATTTCGTTTCGCTGGAAAGCTTTTCGACGACAATAAGCGCCTCGCGAGCAAGCGCAAAGTGTCAGCTTTCCCAACGCGGCTATTCTTCAACGCGAGGCAGCAGTAGCGGAGAAAAAAGGAGCCAACATGAAGCTATCGCAGGTGATGTTGCACAGGCTCGCCTTGCACACTTGCAAACTCGCGATACACTTGGCGTCATAAAAGAGCTGCTGCGCGCTCGCTCACGCTCTCCCCAAAGGGCACATGTGGAGCTGCCGCCGGAATTTCGCGCGTCCGGTGGGACGGCTTCTTCCGACGTTGCACCTTGCCTACTTGATCCCTGCGTTCGCGCGCTCAGCCAACTATCTTCTTCGCAACCTGGCAATAATACATCTCACGCTTCTCTCTCTACTTCTCACTTGTTACTTTTCTCCTTTACTTTCAGCTTTTCTCGCGCTTTTATGTACATTATATAATCTTTATTATATATATTTATACGCCCAGATATTAAACTCTCTCGTGGATTATATTTTGAGCTTTGTTCGCTCTAGCCTTGAGATATGCTTTAGTACACTTGCTTCGCAAGTCGACCGAGTTGACAAAGATCACAGGCGACGTTCTTCGGCAATTATCAAGTACGATGATACGCGACGGCTTCAACAGTCGTGAATTTGATATAAAAGATTCGACGCGCAGCTCCGGTAGGATTTATACAAAACGATACTCTCTGCCACGCACTCGTTTTTTCCACGCAAAAGCCATTCGAAGAGTAAAATACGCTCTTTTCTTATGCTCATGCACGCGCTTTCTCTGTCGAGAAAAAGCAGCAGCAGCAGCAGCAGCAGCAGCTCTTCTTCAAGCTGCACTCACTTGAGCCTAAGGAGTGCATTCAAGAGACTTTCAGCTCGCGATCGTTTGATCTCTTTCTTCTTTCGGAATTCACCTGGTTCTTTCTTTCTTAACTAAAAAAGCTAGAAAGCTTACAAAATACATATTTTTCTTCTTTCAATCGGCTTTTTTTGTTCAAACCCAGCCAATGACCCGATGGTAGCGGATAGGTTACCCGAAACACTTATGCCATAAATTACGTGCAATTTTGATGGCGCATAATTGAATGTGGGTCAGACTCGAAGACGTGCCGCAGACACCCGTACACAGCAAATTTACTAGACAGCTTAAAATTAAGTTATACGTGCTCGGCAGCGGGGCGAGGGATCGCTGGTGGTAGCGCTGGCCGCAGCCTATTGTATGTGTATCCTATACAAAGTAAAGTAAGCCCGACGTCAGAATCAATCAACGCCCGGGAACAAACCCCCTAGTACACGCTTCGCATCTTCGTACATGAACCTATATATCATTAACACACGCGGCTACCCCCAGGAATCATATACACACGTACGAGTCGAAGGGATCGATTCAATACGACACGTACTGCAACCGCAGCTCCGAAAATTCCTTCTGTTGCAACGATCCTGCGCTTTTATCGGCTGCACGCAGCTCTGCTTGTCGGATACCAATTAGTTTATTCTAATCACTCGTCCATTACAACATTATTTTCTCCTCGAGTCATCGTTACGTTAGGTTTGCAGAGGTAATACGCAAACTCGATGTAAAATCAATAGCCTCTGCGGCAAGGGCCAATGACATGTGCGTACGTGCGTACATACATGGCGTGCGTTTGTCGCTGTAATGTATGCTATCATGTGTGACGTCGCACGTGCGTTATTTATATTCGTCGTAAGGTATAAATATATATGAGATGTGTCGTGGCGTGAGATGGAAAAGCTGGAGGCTCTCGTAGTTGCAGGCGAGCAGATGTTATGCAAACGTTATGCAGATCGGAGCAGCTAGACTAGTACTGCTGGAACTAGCCGAGAGGAGTAGTCAAGAGTTGGATTTAGCTAAATGGAATATCAAAGTCACTTTCCCGTGCCTTCGGACTCGTCGGCTTAATACGCGCAGCAGCATTTATATAACGTAAGCGGCTTGCCAGTCGCGAATCAGCGCATGCACGCACGTGTGTGAGTGTGCTTGTGTTTGTGTACGTGCTGGGTGTGTAAGTTATATACATATAGGTGTATTCAGTAATGAGCCTGTAATTGGCTCATTGAGCCAAGTGCAGCGGGAAATTTTTACACGCATAGTGCATTAATCACACGCGAATGTGATCGCGAGCTCTAAAAATTCATGACCAGGCTCTCACGCGTGCACGCAACTCTGCACGTCCCTACATATACATATTAATGCAATGCATCGGCGATCTTGGATCTCGAATCGCAGGCAATTTCGTAACTTCTGAATAAGTCAATGATGTATATCCTCGCTCGCGTACGCGTTCGAGAAGTCGAGTAATGAGATATTCATAAAATTTGCATACGCTCAAGCGCGCGCTGCGCTCCAGCGGGCCACAACATAAATCGTGTGATAAATTTGCTACCGAGCTACCGAGCCGCCGTCTCGTAGCTCCGCTCGACGCTCCAAATAATCAAAGTTATCGGAAATTATCGTGGTCCTTTTGAAGGTGGAAAAAATATCCAGAGCTTATTGCGCGTAACACACATAAACGAGCGAGGCCAAAAATGAGGCAGAAATCCAACTCACCATCTTTGGAACTGTGGGCGCAAACGAGACAGCCGGCGAGCAGAAGCATAGGCTTCAGGATAAGCCCAAGCACTCGCTGCAGCGGCAGCATCGTCTATGCGCTATCGTAGCCGCGGCAGCTAGCCGAGGCTATCGCGGCGACGCAGCGTGCAAATGCGAATTGGAAGCCGAGCGACTTTCCCAGCTGGGCGGAAGCAACGTCGAGGCGAAAGGTGAAAAAATCAAGCCGGCCGGCAGGGAGGTCGACGAGCGCGACGAACGTCCTTCATCGCTCGTTCATCACTCGTGGATCGCTCGCGCATCGCCAGCAGCTCTCGCTCACTCGTCGCTCGGACGCTAATTCGCACTGGAAATTGTGTCGCGCACCATATTCATCGACACAAGCACACTTTTTCTCCTTTTATCTAGGCAATTTCGCAAGCACTATGCCTCACGCGTTTCGAATTCTCTCGTTCAGGCCTTTCTCCTCTCGGCGTCATCACTCGACGAGAGCATCATTGTCGCAGTCGCAGCACATTTCATCACCACTGACTGGGCAAAAGCACGATGAATCACAACACGCGGCCGGGCCACATCACGATGAATAACAACAACCGATAACGGCTACCGTAACGCGATTCGCTTCACTCCGCTGTGTGCGTACGTACGAGGGTGTATGTGTAAGTGTGTATGAGTGTGCGCGCGAGGGAATGCAGAGAGAGAGAAAGAGAGAGAGAGAGAGAGGAGCACAAACAGAGTAAGAGAGACGGGTTACTGCACGCGTACGAGCGACTGTGCTTGGGTAGGGGCGCATGTACGTAGCGAGTGTCGAGTGCGGTAAGCCATTCGCGCGCTGCTCTACGTGCGACCTGCACGCTTGGGCGTCTGTGAACGCGTTTCGCGGGTCACTGTCACCCCGTTGGTATAGCTAGCCGCGCCGTTGCGATCGAAAGCTCAGGAGCGCTCGTTGCAGCGGCGCTTCTTGCTCGCACCAGCCGCCACCACCACCAGCGCGGCCATTTCCACTTCCACTACTACTACCATCGGCGGCGGCGGCGGTAGCGTAGCAGCAGCGCCGCTTCTGCTCCGCATGCGTGCTGCGAACCAGCTATACCTTCTCCTCTCTATCCCAAGCTTTGCCGGGCTGATGCTTTACTCTCCCTACGTGCATGAGAGAGAAAAAGATGTAGTCTCTGCTTGAGGTGAACTTGCTCCTTCCATTCATTTATACTCGCTCGCACACGTTGAGCGCCAAAGAGTCTTGCTATTCTTGCTTAGCTTGCAGCCATCATACGTACTAGCTTTTTTTTTCCTATTGGAAATCCGTTTCTTTGACCGACTGAGAGGTGTAACGGATAATTAGCCTTCCCGTTCAAGCTCCTACCCGTCGGATTAAAGAGAGAAAAACTCGAAATTGCAGCTGTGCTGATTTTTTTTTTCTGCGCCCGTACGTACACCTAGCCGATGATTATCGCCGGCTCGAGCCAGTGCCGGCGCACGTGTTTGAACCGCGCTGCAACACAACTCTGCCTTTTTGCTCCTACGCTACAACTCTTTGCTCGCTCGGAAACGCTCTGATGAAAGGAAGACGAGTCCGGACGCAAGAGCTGACGCCAATTAAATAATCAAGCAACGCATCCTTGGAATAGCTCGTACTCGATCGCGAGTGCTTGTTTCAATCGTTCTTAATGTAATCGAGTAGTCGCAGCAATTTCGACTGCCAAGCGCGCAGCGAGCACAACTCGGCCTTGGGTGCATTCGTGCATTAACCAGCTCTACTCTTTAGATCGAACGAGTAAATTGTACAAACATACGTTTGGCTGGATGTGCGCCCTTTCCAAAGCTTTAGGCGCGCTGTTTATTTCGTTCGAGTGTGAAACATTTTTCGGGGCTCGCAATTGTATCGCTTCGAGGCGTCCCTTTTTCTACGACCCTAATTCGTGCCTGGCAGGACTAATAGGCTCGTTCGTTCCGAAAGACAATGGATCTAAAAAAGCAAGCTGTCGGAGCGTAATTTTTAGTAAACATCAAGACGAGCGCAACTACGAGCGAGGACTGCGCTTCCAAAGCTGCTCGCAGCACTATACACAATAGCCTCGCACGAAGCTGATCGCTTCGGTGCTGCTACTGCGCGCTGACTGCTGCCCAGTTGTGCGCGATCGAGTCTAGACTTTGCCCTCGCCGAGGCTGAAAAAAGCTTTTCGGCTCAAGTTTGCAACGAGCTGTAAGCGCTCGACGACGGAATTAAAAGACTTTGGAGTTGAGCAGGCCGCAGGAAAGCTGCTAGTCAGCATCGGATGATGCGACGATTAAATGTTCGTAAAGGTTTAATGAGGCTGATGATGGTCGTCGTCGTTGTCGTTGTCGGTGACTCGCTCGGTCGCTCGCTCGGTAGTTGGCTTACTCGTAGTCTCGGTAGCACACGCAAGCGAACACTCGCTGCGAGCGCCGTAGGACGCTATCGCTGCGGAGCTTGCTCGGCATCTCTAATGACTCGACGGCTCCTGCCGAGAGGACAAGCTTCGCTTCGACAAAGATGTGCTCGCCCCCTCGTCCTTATTCTCGGCAGCTCGAGTTTACGACCTCGCCTAGCGGATGTTTAGTAATGATGCCATTGTTGTACTCGATCATTGATAGCACGGATTGACTCGTCCGCTTGATCAACTCTTTCCAGTCCCCTCTCTTCCTCCTTGAAATATTTTACGCATACGTCTCATTTACCTCCCAGTCGTACGCATGCTTATGAGCTATTGCAACCATTTCAGTAATTAGATTTTTTTACCTAATCATCGGTTACTTTTTGCTTTTTCACATCTTAAACAATAAATATACACTTTCAGCTGGAGAATGCACAATTGGAATGATTGAATAATCAGTCCTGCACCCAGAACAATAATCACTGATAAACTTAAGCTGCTAAACCTCACTTGCGAAACAGATAAAATATTCAGAGCAAAGTAATGACGACATTATAAATAAACAGAAGCCCCATATTAATTCTAAATATATGTTTACTCAAATGCGGAAAATCTTTTGCGTAACAGCGAGGGAGAAAAGGGATCTGCGTATACGATTATCAGAAGTTAATTTGAAAAGTGCAGCTCTCAGGCTGCATAAATCTTTGTAAAGTACAAGTCGTATTAAGTAGCAGCGCTTCCAAGACGTATCGGACTTACCCAGCTCTCTGCTGCTTTGCTGCTATTGCTGCTCCTGCTTTGCTCTTCCACTTCCCTCCCTCGCTCTCTTTCAAACTAAAGAGTACAAGTTTTTCAAGCTGAAACTTTTCTTACTCGCTAGATTAACATCTGTTAATTAAAGCTCATCAACAAAACAACGAGAGAAAAAGGCCGTCACGCCTATAATGGAAAAATCCATAATTCAAATATTAACTGCGCAAAAGTGAGAAAAAAAATCGCAAGAGAATAGGTACGGTGAGCACGCCGCTGGCGTTTTACGTGGCTAAAAGTAAGAGTTGGATCAGCAACAATTAAGAATTCGACATTAAACGAAGTACATGCTTTAGTTTAGATGCTTTGTGTCGGTGCTGTGCTGCAGCTAAGAGCGTTTAGACCGCATATCAGATTACCTCCCCGAGCGAATCGAAATTAATCTTGGCAAATAATATCGCGACGTTATACCAGCCAGCCGCGTAGGAGCGAACAAAAAATTACTACAATCTTTCAGCAAGGAGCTATTATCGCTATTTTCTTGCCTCTCCGCAACGAGATATTTTCTTCTAACCACTCGTCATCAGTTTACAGTACGGTTATTTTTCTTTCTCTCTTTTTCTCGTACACATGGACACACGAGGGTGTAAGCGTGACCGTGTGGAGGATTTTTGCAATGCGACGTAGACGCGCTTAAAGAGTGACGGTATTTGCCGGGGTTATATGGCCCGGAAGAAAAATGCGTGCGTGTAAAAGTGTCCCGTCGAAATTGCAGCTCGCTCGCCAAGCCCCGAGCGTATATCGCGGTCATTAAAGTGCAGTTGAAGGTGGACCTATATACACAGGCCAGCAGCTTGCGTATATGCGAGTGCGAACGACGCGCACTGGATACCACTCGACGCGACTTATATGGATGTTTATAGAGAAAGAGGCTAAAGAAAAAGATTTTTTACGCCACTCACCCTTCGGAGATCTCACCCTTGAGAGAGATTATACGACTTCTTTAATGCTTCGCTCCTCGGATGAACAACTGTATTATTTATAAGGCCAGATGGAGAGCGAGAGATTCGTTTGGCCACTCGCTAAGTAACACGATCAGCAGTAAAATAATCGTACTTGTCGTCGTCGTCGTCGTCGTCGTCGTCGTCGTCGTCGTCGAGCCAGAGCAAGCGTACTTCGATATGTATGACCGTGCTCCCGCTCGCTCGCCCACGCAAGTGACAATATAGCTGTTACTTTTAACAACTTACTCGTTTATAACCGTCCTCCTCTTGCTTTACTTTCTTTTTTGTTATACGTTTTACGAGCTTAGAGATTTTCAATCTAATTTTTTACCGAGCGCAAAGTTGAACAGCCGCACAACAAAACTCGCAAGAATATATACGCATAATCAAATGGCTAATGGATTCTTTAAAAAGTTAGAGATTAGCATTTTTAGCAAAACTTGAAGCATATACGTGTTGTATCTTTCAAACTCCTTACATACAACACAAGATGTGAAGTTGAAGTAATTTTTTTTCGAGACAGGCTTAACTATTTCTCCCTTCCCGATTCTTGGAATTGAAACTTTGTTCCATGCTACGATGTATTTCATTTGGCTCGCATCTGACAGACATATGTGTGTATATAATAGCTCCTCTTTTCGACTTGTACAGTGATAAACGAATGTAAGTTTTAGTATTAATTTCGCGTGCCTAGAATGCACGATCCAACATTCGCAATATGAAGTTTTTGACAATGAAGCTGGCAAGTGTGTAATAAACTATCTCTTGGTGGGAATTCGAGCAAACTATTAATTGTTTCAATTTTACACGGCAAGTTTATCAATGATTTGTTAGATCTATCTAATGTTGGCCGATACTTCAATTAAAAAAAGTCAAATGCCAAGGTTTAGAAAAATAAAGAAATAGCTATACGAGAGCGAGAAAATGCATGCAACTGCGCAGGTATTTTGTTTGTCATTTAGTTGCAACTACGGCTCGGGTGCGAGAGTATACCAGCTACGTCAAAATACCTACGCAACGAATACCCAGCATCAAACTAAAGGATAGAATATAGAAGTGCTTCAGTTTTGCTCTGTATACCCGTAGACTGCGCCAACAGAGATCTGTAGCCTTATGAATTTATGCATGAGTGCCGATCGATTGGATATGTACTCGTGTTCCCACCGCTTTGTATACTGCAGGCAAAAGTCCTGGACCAGATGAACATGTAGTTTTCTCAAAAGTTATACGGTACAGATGCAAATAAAAGTACAAAAGCAGCATGTACAACAGATAGCGAGAAAAAAATTTAATTGTCACGCAAGGTTTACCCAAGCTAGACGACTTAAACGTCATTCTTTTAGCCTCACAGGACACCACAGCTACTCATTGCAAGAAAAGTAAGTAAAATGGGTTCAACGAGTTTTATATTGATATGTAATGCAAAATTTTTTTCTCTTGACACGTCTTTACATATTTTCTGCGTCGCATAAAAATCGTTGACATGTAGCTCCACGGAGAACGATGCCTCAAGAATGGAGTTACACGTTTTCTTTCTTCGCTCTTGGCCCCATCGCTTTGCGCCATATTAGATTCGAGCTTGCACATTTTATCGAATTTTTCGCGTCGCGAGAAAATCTAGGCGAGCTTTTCGCGTTTTCTTTATTTACTGCTCGCTGAATCTTTGACGCGTAACGCGACAAAAACGCCTTGCTGCTCAGCTTTTTCCCCCTCGATCGAGACACGCGTTTGCGAAGAGACTTTTTCTTCCTGCTGCAGCGTTACCTCTTGTTAGTTCCGCGTGCGCAAAGAAGATATTGATGCCCGGAGCGCGTGCTAGATCTTACAGCAGCTGGATTTACACGTGCAAAAAATAAGTGTGTGATTTTTTTCTCCCAGGATTGTTAGGATTGTTAAGTTGTTATCAGACGCCTTACCAAGACTTTGTATTAGCGTAAACGCTGAGTCAAAAGAGCGGATTAACGCTATATTTTTAAAACTATAGGCAAGTTAATGAACCTCGACAAAGCGTCGAAAGCAAGAAAACAGATCTAAATTATGCGAAGATATGTTTTTCTTGCTGTAACTGGACAGAGAGGAGGCGCAAACGAGGTTATTCTGCTACGCCGCACTGTATAATGCAGTCGCGTGGCCCGACGCTCGAGAAGCGGCGCGAGGTAGGGGATACGAGCGACGACAGCTGCTGCACCGTCTGCAGGCGCTGCAATTTAAAAAGTGAAGGTACACGTCACTCGAGGCGCAAAGTACGTTTGAGAGAGCAAACGCTTGACCTTAGGTAAGCACGAATGTTCATTGAGTCGCGAGCCACGTACTGCTGTATACCTGTGCTCCGCTTTCTGCTGCGGCGTCAAAAGTAAGGCGTAAGTATCGCGCGCTCATTGATCGAGAATAATCAAAGTGACACAAGCGATTCCCCGCGATTGTTTGAAATACGACAATTACGTGCGTCGATCGACGACTGGACTCAACGAATTTTTTTAGAAAATTTGCTTTCTACTTGGACCAATTCGTCTCTGGCTAGACGCGGTGCACACAATGTGGCCAGCTATCATCGGGTGTATAATTTTATTAATGATAAAGTTAACAATAGATCACCGACAGAGGCGACTGAAAAACTATCCACCAGGTATGGATGTCATTATCACTAAGCATGTATTCGAAAGTTAAAGTTTATTATATTCACGATGCTTTCATGTAACTCATTAGTACGGCATACTTGATGTCGCTTTCTAACGACCTCAAATATAATAGAGTTGCGAATAATCGCATCCTTGTGGCGATGTCAATCGGCTGCATTTGCTTGTCGTTTTCAATTCGAATGAGCGTGTTTCGGTATAAGCATGAATTCGGTACAAGTAAAGTGATACGATCGAATTGCATTCCGTTAGGACCATGGGGACTACCGGTTTTGGGCAATCTTCTCTCAATCAACCGGCTTGTTAAAAAAACCCGTTTTCACTTCAACGCTTGGCGCAAATTAGCCGACGTCTATGGTCCAGTGCTGCGCATTCGCCTCGGCATAACGAAACCTCTGATCGTCGTGTCAGGTCGCCAGGCTGTGCTGGACTTTTTAAACAGGCGCGAGTTCGACGGTAGGCCCAATAGATTCGAATTGCGTAATAATGGCAAGAAAATGGGCATCGTTTTGAACGACGGTCAAGACTGGATCGACCAAAAAAGGTAATTGATTAATTCTCTGGCATTGATTGCAAAATTTGACAGCAACCATAAATAAGCGAAATAAAATGTTGCCCGGGTGCCTTTTTGTCAAAGGTTCTTGCTGAAAGCCTTGAAAGACTTTGGCTTCGGCAAACAGTCCATGGAGGATTTGGTTCTGCAAGACGTCGAGATGCTCTGCGACATTGTGCGCAATCAAATGCTCGATAAAGCAATGGACGTGCACGATTTTTGCGAGATAACCGCGATCGCCGTTGTAAGCAGCCTGTGGAATTTGATTGCCGGTAGAAGGTAAACCAGTTCGTAGCTTCGCACCGCGCGACAAGTCTGCTATATTACAAAAGTGTTACAAAAGTGAAATTTGAATAAGCGCGACTACGTGCAAAATGTATTAAAAATGCTCAAGGCTACTTTGTTGGGCAAACGCTCGTCCGCGCAAAAACTTTCTACGCTATCGCACGCGACTATTAAACGCATTAGATTCGAGAGACCGGTATGCGTATCGCTTGCGTTCGTGCGCGCGCGCTCCATGATCGATCCGCTCAATGGGCATGAGCCACCGTCTATCAAAGTCTAATTTATTGCAGGTGTGATCCGACTAAAGAAGAGGAAGGTATGCTGAAGATTTTGCGCATCCTCAAAGAAAGTTTTCGAAGCGGCAGTGCGGCTGGTTTTCTTTGGCAACACATACCCATTTTGCGTTTTATTATGCCCAAGTACTCCGGCTTCAGTGAGCATCAGAAGAGAGTTACGGCGATGCTCCATTATTTTCTGGTATACGCCAAAGCTCTGTTTTTTACTTTTTGTGCTTTGTTCAGTCGCTGCTTTTTTTTGCCTTCTTATCGAGCATTTTATAATGTATGTGGCTAGGAAGAAGTATCCGAGCACAAAAAAAGCAGGAGTCCGGGAAACCCGAGAGATTTGATCGACAGATACTTTGACGAAATGGATTCAAAGAAACACGAGGAAGATTCGTCTTTCAGTGGTGCGTTTTTCAATCGAATTCTGACTTATTTGTCCGACCGAGAGAACAAGTTTTATAAAAATACTCGCAGAATTACAGCTAGTAGCCATTGTGCAGGACCTCTTCTCCGCTGGAATCGAAACAACGTCCAACTCAATAGGATTTGCTATCGCCTACTTGGCCAAGTATCGAGACGTTCAGGCTAGAATTCAAGAAGAGCTAGACCGAGTGATAGGCGATGAAATTCCCCGGTTAATTTACAAAGATTCGTAAGTTGTCTTTCTGAGCAGTTGCCATCTACTCGAAAACTTTAAGACACGTAATTTTCAGGCTGCCGTATCTGAACGCGACAATCGCAGAAGTCTCACGCCTATCCAACGTTGCACCCACGACCATTCCCCACCGCGCCATTGTCAACAGCTCGATATTGAGCTATGACGTGAAGAAAAATTGGTCAGTCATTGGCGACTTGCGTAGCGTACACATGGATCCAAATCACTGGTCCGAGGCCGATGTATTTCGACCCGAGCGCTTCATCGATCCCAGCGGCCAATTTGTCAGTGATCCCTGGCTCATGTCTTTCGGTGCTGGTACGTAATGCAACAAGTATTTTATTATTTTAATGTACTAATTCGTCATGGTGTCGAACCTAGATCTTCTTCCGAATTTACCTACAGAAAACACAACATTGGATTCGATTTTAATGCACTGCTTTTCCAGGTCGCAGAAAATGTCTCGGCGAAAATTTAGCACGGATTAGCCTTTTACTTTTCTTGGCAAGATTACTCCAGAAATTTCAATTTAGCCTAGCACCGAACGAGGGAGCTCCATGCCTGCTTGGAGTGAATGGCTTCACTATAGCACCGCCACACATTAGCATTGTCGTAAAGTTGCGCCGATGATAATGATTATCAAGTCCAACACAGAGATATAATCGAGAAATGGTTCTAATTTGTTTTCAATGGATCTTGACTGTAAGGTCAACGATATTGACTCAAGTCAATCAAACTTTTGACTTATAGCAACTAACGTGCATATTAGACGTGTTATTTTTGCATCGAGTATTTTCGATTCTACACGCTCACACTTTTATTGACATGTTAAAAAAATGTAGTAGGTATTGAAGTTTTTTTTTATTTGTTCAAAAAGATATCGTAAGTCGAAAAGGCCAAAAAATTTACATCTTCCTTTGGTAATAACTTTTATGCATGTATTTTTATCTACAATTTAAAGATACAAAACAAGTTTTTAGTAAGTAAATTCATTAAAAAATTTATTTTTCATGATTTATTGCTGGGTATTTTGCTGTTTAATCAATCCGATCAACAATTGGCAATTCGATTTTTCCTATGAATAATTTCAAGTCCTTTTTTTGTGAAACCTGCAAAATTATTACGTTACTTCACCCAGTTATATCGATTTTTTTAAAATCATCGATAATTTCAAAAATTTTTACAAAAAACGACAAATTTTCAATAAGCTTTTCAATAATATTATTGAAAATTTTCTCTCTAGTATATAGGAAAAATTATCAAGAGATTACACTTACGAAAACATGTATAAAATAATGTTATCAAGAATAGCAATCTTAGAAGTTATCTGCAACGATTTCATAACTTTGTACACCCCGATGCACATGACTAATTTTTAATTTACTTGTAAAAAGAAATATTTGATAGATAAATGAGATCTCGCTAATTAATATAAGTAAAATAGGTGATTTTTCAACAATAAAATTTTTGAATCTCAAAAGCATTATTTTTTTTTATACAAGTATAAGTAAGAGAAAGATATACAGGCAAAGATCGATAGTAGTTTTTGAAGCAGTGGTCGGAGCTTGGCATAGAATGTTAGCTGCGAAGAGCGACAGGGATTTAAAAGCGCTCGAAAGCAGTGAGTAAAGAAATGCTTGTATAATTAGATGTTACTTGACGATGCCACACGATAATTAGTGCTAATTGTTTTCCTCTCGGGTAGTGCATGTATATCGCGAATAGCTGTATAGGTATATAAAAGAGAAGACAGTGTAGAAGAGTCGGAGCTGAATCTGGAGAGAAGCGGAGAGGGCGAAGAGCAAATGCTGGCGGCAATTATCGGTGCTATTTCATTCCCAGGCATTCTTGGAGGGCTGGCGCTTAGGCGGAAGCAGCCGGAGGATGGCGACGAAGCTCCAAAGGCGCAAGTGCGCGACAATTGCTCTGATATACGTGTGAAACAGCTGCTATGTTTAGATCATCAGTGCGAAAATCAGGCGAGGCTTACGAGAGAACATCGCAGGTACTGCGTGCGCAGCGGATGCGCCGCAGACTACGCAGAGAGCTCCGCGACTCTCTACAAAAGGCTAAAAATTTTCCGGGAGTTTTTCGCGTTGCGTTTCTCGAGTCGATTTTCTCTTGCACGAACGCACACGTAGTCATTCTGATGAAATTCTCGTGCTGTTACGCGTTCACGTTGTAAAATGGAAGTTTATTCGATCAAGCCGTGGGCCCGGGGCTGTTCGCTGGAGAATTGTGACAGATTAAGATAAATGTTTGTAAGATGGGTTAATCCCGCGTCAGTCGTCATGTTGCACAGTAGGCAAGAGCATCGCCGGAATATATGCTCAGTCGAATCTTACAAAGATTGATGCTCGTTGTTGCTTTAGGGCCTGGATTATAAAAAAGAGGCGCGAAATTTGATAATGTTGTCGGAGCTTCAGCACAATAGCACGAAAATCCGATTGTTCGCATGGCATTCAAAGGGTCTATGTATAAATATATGTGCAGCGAGGCATCGGAGCGCGTAATATTGAGTAGATCCACGGTCGCATGTACCACGTAGCAGTAGCGTAACCAGCAGCAGTGGCGGTATTTTGATTAGCCGCGCGTGTAACGTACATACACATACACACACACACACGAGAGCTGCTACTTCTCCAGTGCACTGCAACACGTATACATTGGAGCGAGTAGCAAAGCTGCATCGTGGCTTTTGCGTCGATAAATAATTCGAACAATCGAATTAGCAGCTCGATACAAGTATAGCGAGAGCTAACGAGACTCGTACGTACAAAGAGAATCTCTCATTCAACTCGTACACGTGCACGTGTTCTAAGTTTGGCCACAAATACACGATACTGTCTCGCGAACGGCCAGTAGGTCTAGGTTTCATAATAGCTGCCCATGTCCATGGAATGTATTTGCAGATCGAGAACTGATTAACGAACGTCCTTTGGGCGGTTTGCAGCTACAACGATCGCGCGAAAACGCAACGAAATATAATAGTATTATATTTATATCAGGTATAATATGGAAACACGCGCATTGTCTCGATCTATTTTCCACACAGCCTCGGCGCCGTTGGTGCGCAAGTGAACTCGATTCATTTTCTTGTACCTACACGGATCCATTTACCATTTGCCATTTTTCCATTACGCGCGTTGATCCATACGCATTATATAGATGATCGGCACGATCAGCAGTAGCAGCAGTAGCAGCGGCATCAGCACGAAGGTGTGAAATCGAATATAATTCTTCGTCTGAATGCTGCCGATGCCAGCTAAGCAGAGCCGAGGGGAGCCGAGGAGAGCTGCAAGTACTGGCTAAGAACGGACGAGCCAATGCGAGCCGAGACTCGAGAGGTAATCTCGCAGACTATTTCGCGAGAGCGAGATGGATAGACGAGGACGTGCAGTTACTCCTCTTCTCAATCCCCCGCTCGCTAGCTGGCGTTAGCTCACTATAGTCCGACGAAAAGCGCCTGTGTATATAGATATAGGGACGAGAAATTCTTTTCGATCGCTCTCCAAAGGATAATCCCGGAGCTCGGAGCGAGAGACGAGTTCACGACTGCAGCTCGAGCGATGACTACGGAAAGAAAGAGTACCTCGTTTCTTTCCAAATGGTCCATATAAGACGAATTCATCTATTACATATAGCTCGCCTTTACTCGCCTTTACTTACGAGTGCAGCACATATATCTATCGTTTAGCTAGTTACATGTGGCTCGGTGCATTAGAGATGTTGATGCACCAGCTAGGGATGTGCGTAAGCGTTGCATGGAGCAAGAATCATTATATATAGCGCGCCGTAGCTTGTCCAGGCTCGGAAATCATATCTGCTCTGAAGAGTAATTCCATGATTGCTTGGAAGCTCGATGATTACGCCTGCGAGCGGATTAGCTACGAGTGTGCAATTCTCTCTGCTGCTCTCTCCCTCTCAACCCATGCGCGCGCGAGTACTCTGGCTATACACAAGAGCAAACGGTCCTATACAGATTTACTCTGTATTACATGTACTCGAGGTCACGTGTATGTGTGCGTGTGTGTGTGTGTGTGTGTACGTACTAAGCTCGCGCAACTGCTCCAAGAGACTAGCCAACGGTAACCCTGCGCAGCTCTCTCGAAACTTTCAGCTGAACTAATGTTCTTCTCTCGAACTGCTTCGAGTGGCGAAGCTCGCTCGGTATTTTCATTCTTTCGGCCGGAGCAGAAATGAAAAAAAAAGATGGGAACGCCCGTGCCGTGGCGAAGCTGAATCGTTGAAGCGGGCGCTCTGTCGAATTCGCAGCGTGCTTGCGCTGCTGCTTTTTCTTCGCTCGACGACTCGAGCGTGTGCGGCTGCGTGCGTGTGTTTAATGCATTCGAATGTCATAAATCATTACTGGCCCCGAGACACCGAACGTGCAAGTCTCACTCGCTACACGTATTACCGGCCGCGCAAGCCCCGAAGCCATATTGAAAAGCATCTCACTCGACTCGCGCAGCCACGCACAGCAGTCGGCATGATAGCAGCTAATAAAACACCGCTAATGCCAGCCTTGCTCGCTGCAAAATTTGAAATTCAAACGAGACGTTGAGCTTCGTTGAGCTGCGAAATAAAGTATAAAATCGTCCAGCGAGTGAACGAGGCAAAAGACACGAGTGCGCGCCTGCCCGTAGCTCAGCGAGCTGCGATTCTCTTCGTGTTCACACACAATAAGCAGCAGCAAACTACGTTAGGTACCTCTACTAGCTGCACCCGAACGATTGTGATTTCGGCCTCGCTTTTCTGAGGCTGCATTTTTGTCTTGATACGTACGATCGTGTGTGGTAGGCATTTTCCCCTTGTTTGATCGGTTTCTTTTTTTCGATTTCCGTTCGTTTGCATATGCACGTTAGACGCGTGTGTCACTGCTGCTCGTTAATGCAGGCAGAAAACTTTACAGCGTTCGAGCTGGCAAACGAGCCGGAGTGCGCCTGACGCTCAGCTGCAACAGAGAAATGCAACACTCAAGCGTTGGCCTGCATCGCTGCTTTGTATCGCGTTGCATCGCTGCAGCTGGAGCGATTTAACGATCTCGCATCAAACCTCGTTACAAGTAGTAGTAAGTTCAGATATGGGCAAAGCCGCGTCAACCGTCAAATTCACAAAATCGAAATTAAAACTTAATATGCACATTGTAAATAATACGTACATAGAGAAATAAAAGAAATCCACTCTTGAGTCCTTTAGGTCCATTTCCTGTAGATCTAGCAAAGACTTAAAATTGGATTTTCAATTACCCAATGTTACTGTGCTTTTATGGAATGATACCAAATTGTGTCTATTTATCTACCAAAGAAGAAATTTGTCGAAAATTTTCATTTTGAACTACAAAACTTTATATCAAAAACATTAATTCAATTGTTTTTTCATAACCACCCCTAAAGCAGCATAACACTTGAAAAAAAAAAACAATTTTGAACCTTCTCAGATCCATCTATGCTGAATCTATGCTGTTCAAATTTATGGAAATTCACATTTGTTTAATTTGAAAGGAAGCAATTGCATTTTTTTGACTTACCAATTGATATGATTTGGCTGATTCTTACAGTCGGTGAAATCGTGTGAATAATTTATGTTTTTCTTCTAACATGAAAGCATGGTTACTTTAATGCCATAAA